CAAAATAATGGCTTTTAACGCCTTGTAATTCCATCTACAAAAGTGGTCTGCAGATAGGGAAGACAGCTGCATATCATCAAATGCAGCCTTAATCGCCACCGATTTAGGCTGCATTTAATGATGTGCAGCTTGCTTAAACTGGCCACTTCGATTTTTGACCATTCCCTTGTCACTTAAGGCTTTTGCGAAAACGCTTCTTTTCATTAAGCACAGGATAAAATCTTATATTCAATAAAATCAGTTAATTAAACAACTTTTTCTACAAGAATTCATCAGTTCACGTTGCGAATCTGTATCAAATTGCACAGATGAAGAAAGTGATACGGCCGCTATCTAAAGCATTTGCGAGAAACTTTTTCCAGAACTTACATGATTTAGGTATCGACACCAGTTCCGGTAGTAATTCCCCCCCCCCCCGAAACGTCACAACAAGAACACACTAGGGCGCGACAGCTCAGAGTGAATTACGAATTTAGCGGGAGTCTCGCCAATGCCTTTGTAAAACTTCCGCACTACTACCGAATAGCTTCTTATAGCGCAGTGGCTGTGCTTTCTGCGTAATCATCAGAACAGGGGTTCGGCTCGCCAATGCCTTTGTAAAACTTCCGCACCTACTGGTGTACGAACCCCTGTTCTGATGATTACGCAAAGCACATCCACTGCACTATACGAAACTATTCGGTGATAGGCACTTGCAATGGCATGGCATGCGCCTTGCAAATGCAATCCTCCGATAAAGGCAAGTCCGGGCGATGACTAACAAGTATTAGATTGGCTAAAAAATCTAGAAGTCTAATATTGGATGCAGATTCGGCATTCATACAAGTGAAAAGTGAAAAGTAGAGTGAAAGGAAAAGCCGGAGGTGAGCCATTGGGCTATACCCAGGCTCCCACCACGATTGTACCCCAGCGCAAACGTAGCGTAGTTGAGCTCTACTCTCGCGCTACTTTCTGCGTCTCCCATTAGTGCGCACTATTTCTTTAGAATGTGGAAGTAAGCATGTAGCACGTAGCTCGCGCTTGTGTTCACGCTTGAGAGGCGAGCTCAAGCTTGCGCTAGGATCACGACCTGCGTTGTCGAGATTAAAGGCAGCGTCCAGGCAGATGCGGACCTATGGGGATTTTATGTGGAAAGTATTTTTGAAGCCCTAATTGAGGCACTGCTTAACGGCAGCGCAGGATAGTGCTCTCATGGCTGAGGTATTCCCCACGAAACTGGACCCCGCGATCGTATTCGCATGGATTCATGGCAGTTTCGCACCAGGAAGCACGCATTTGGCCATGAATCCATACGAAATACGATGGCGGGATCCAGTTTCGAGGGGAATATCTCAGCCGTTAAAGCACTACCTGAGCTGCCGGTTGGGTAGTGGCTTATTTAGGGCCCCAAAAACATTATCCACGTGAGACCCCATGTATCCAGACTTGCCTGGACGCTGCCTTTGAGCGAGTGTGTTGAGAAGTTGCCGACAAATTTTTCAATGGCCAGCGGAGTGGGACTGAGCTTCAACCAACGCAACCTCGTACGTCACTTCCGAGCGGGGAGGATTACTACAGGCCCAGATGGCACTAAAATCTTGAGAAGAAGCCTTCATCAATTTTCTTCATGGGGTATGGAGAAAAATACGTGAACACAAAAGAGGAACAGACGAGTTCAATAGAGATACGGTTGCTTTCAACCTCAGCAACATCCAGGCTGTCTGCGCCATCTGTGCCGAGCCCTGCTTGTCCGTTGTCTTTACTCAGATCAAGCAAATTGTTATTATAATGTTATGTACCTCTCGTAATTATATCCCATAGATGTTTATACTGCACTGCGTTTGGACTACCTTTTGCGCGTTCCATTCCTGAAGACAAAGCGCTGCCTTTAGGAAGCACTTGTACTCCTGATCAGCTGATTAAGTTTATGGTAACTGAGGTAGAATCAGAAAAGAATATAATTTTATTTCAAAATAACCTTTCATGGAAATAGGTTTACGTGCGGGCGATCCGTTTCTTGTATGAGAATGGTGCTCTGCGTAAGCCATACATAGCAGTCGTTAATATATTTTGCAGTAATCTACCAGCAGGAGTTAGCGGAAGTAGACCGCTTGAAGACTAACGTAGAGAAAGAGCTTCGCACCACATAAAAAACAATTCTTTTAGAAAGCAGAAGACTGTTTCCATTCAAAACTTGATGCTTTCATAAGGAATTGATGTGAAGAGGTTGTGTGCAGCGTTAAAGCAGAGCCATTTGTGTTCATCATTTCTAAAGACATAATCTTAGGAGAAATAAATATTTGCCTTTTGTATGTCAGAATAGTGCAGCTGCGTCTGTTGTCGTCTCGAACTTTTCTTCAGAAATAGATAGAAAGTGGTATAGGAACGATATAGTAAAACGCATTGGACATGCATCAAGATCAATAAGCGCCGATATAGTTCAGAGCAATAAAAGGCAGTGAATATGTGCTTCAAATTGCAAAAGTAGGATATACGATAGAAATGGTGAAATCGAAAAAACGTATTTTTTTGACTGAGACAGTTGCGACCGTGTACTACCTAAACATCTACAGCACTCTAACAGAAACATACGTCGGTTTTCACATTTCTCTTCTCGTCATGAGTTCAGACTTTGTTAAGCTCTGTCGCTTAGTTGTCCTGCACTGCCACTCTTCCTCGCTTTTGAAATATAAGTCAATGCGTACAGATATGTTATAGACAGCTGTTAATTATGGAAAATGTGCACCTTGAGTGAATACCACTGACATCGTACTCAGGGCCCGGCACGTGCTTGCCAAATGACAAGCTGGAATTCGTTTTCGGCAAAAAAAGCAAAGGGGAGGCCGTTTTTCGGGGTCCGGGGCGAAGCCTCGAAAAAAATGGTAGTTTATGCCCTCTGCTTATCTTAACATGTTATGCGCCTCAACGGGCGAACAATGGAGTTCGCGCGCGTCAAACCGCGCCGTCGCTGATTGCCGCATGCTCAACGTCGCTCAAACGATGCTATTTGTAACAGCATACATGACTAGCTTTCAATGTATGCGTAACGATATGGCACCAAATTTTGCAAACAAGCGGAGAAAAGCTCGTGGAAACAAAGTATGAAAATTATGAAAAACTTATGTGAACGGAACGAGTAATAAGCATTTTTCCGAAAATTTGGCAAAATTGGTAAATGAAGACGTGGATTCAAATGGCTCGTTTGCAAGGCGCAGATAACGATATGGTATGAAACCTTGTACGTACGTACCTAGACACAAGCCTGTGGGAGCTAACGTAGGAGTTTCATCAAGAAATTGTGTGACTAAAGGTAGTGGCAAACTTTTTTCTGAAAATTTCCCGCTACCAAAAAAAATGGAAAAATGGCTCGTTTGCAACGCAGAGGTGACGAAATTGCGTGGGATTGGGTATATATATGCGCGGTAGGACTGAGTAACAAAGTGTGAAAAATTATGAAAAACTTATGTGAATGAAAAGCGTGCCCAACTTGTTTCCAAATTAGGTTGTCATTTGACAGGTGACAATCTGAGGTTGTCAAAACTTTCAATCCACATAATTTTTTCAGAATCTTATATATAAAGCTGAATGTCTGTTTGTCTGTCTGTCTGTATGTATATATGTCTGTCTGTCTGTGTGTACGTATGTTCCGAATAGAAAATTCCATTTCTAAACCGATCCGGACCAAACTTGGCACACATACACTTCGGGCCCCAGCGGGTGTCATAGGCTACTTTTCGTATCGATCGATATCGATTTTATCGATTTTCTGCAAAATTTGAGCTACGGGGCCGGGAGTTGGCACAGGGGGGTAATCGAGCATGCTGATTACGAATATAATAATGACAGGGCCGGGCGGAGCCGGGTAGTCAACTAGTTTTTACATAAATTCACTCTACACCTGAAAGTCAGTATATATTGAAATTTTGGTTTCAAACCTCCTTCTCTCCTCATTGCTAGAGCCAAAAATAGCTTCAGCAGCAATTTCAAAGTACCGTTTTCATGAAACCTGGGCATTCGTTGTATTTCTGATTACTTCTGTGCCGAACAGGTTTGTTAAGCGATGTTTATTATTCTTCCAATCACGGCCCTACGTTTCGACGCCTTCGTCTTCCTCAGAGGCCTGAATGGTTCCAACTGTTATCTGTGATAAAGCGGGATTGGAGGAGACGCTTGGTGGGCTGTTATCACAGATACCACTTGGAACCATTCAAGCCTCTAAGGAAGACGGAGTTGAAACGTAGTGCCGTGATTGGAAGAATAATAAACATCGCTTAACAAATCTGTTCGGCGCAGAAGTAATCAGAAATACAGCTTCAGTGGCCCCGTTTCCTAAGGAGGAAAGCGCGCTCCAATCGATAACGGCGTATCGCTGAGTCCTTTAGTCGGAGTTATTGATATTTTGTGACTTACTAGCTTGCACTTACTGCTTTTTGCTCTGCTATTATTCTGCCTTTTACTCTTACTCTTTTTACTCTTTCTACTCTTTCCATTTCAATCAATTATCCTTCCGTTGTTAGATAGCTAGGCTGCTTTTTTTGGAAGTCAGTAATGCTTCATCTGGGTATATATAGGAAAAAGTCGCTGATATTGGTTGCTTCAGATAGAGTTCTCATATATGGCTTTACAGTCGCGTCAAATCATCAAGGACAACAATCTCGATAACATTATCACCGTAATCTAGTTAATCTGAAGAAGTCACAGAACTTCTAGATGGAGTTGAAAAGGTTCGTGAATGTTGTCACTGATCTGCCCATGTGCATTACCATTTCTTCAGGTTGATATCATTGTGTCGGAATGAGTGGGCTATTGCTTATTCTATCTATGCTCAAGACCATTATTCGCTAGGAACAAGTGGTTGAAAGAAGGCGGACTAAATTTCCCGGACAAAGCAAAGCTGTCTTGTGCGCGAGTGAAGACAGGCAATAGAAGGAGGACAAAATCCACAGTTATGTATAGTCTTAGTCTTTTTTGCTTCATCAACAGCCTTGGGTCATAGGTGAGATAACGTATATGGATTCAATATGTCCGCTTTTCGCAAAGTTGCCATCACTGAACCGTTGGTGGATGTTGTAGATAATGCGCAAGTTGTCACTAACAATTACTGCTTGAAAGAGGTAGATGCAACTTTTCCCGCTGCGACTCATGTTTGTTAAATAGTATTGCAGAATGATCTCTATACTGTGGAAGTCGAAGATCTGACCTGGAAGTCATATTACCAGATACGCTGCCTTAGAAACGATTATATACAGGTAAGGAGTTTCATTATCCATTTTTGTAGCACTTATTCCTTCTCCTTTATCGGAAGGCTTATCGTCTTTCTTCAGGCTTTGATGACCTTCTTCACAGTCGATTTTTCCAAGTGTCATAAAAGGACCGATTCTCTACTGGCCCTGGTGTGCAGTACACCCATTGGAAACAAACTGTCCTTTACCTCATGGTATGTTTACATAACGTTCAGCTGTTGTCAAATGCAGTTTTCAATCCAGGATGCTTTCACTGTGAAGATAGTCGAAGAAATGACGGGTTATTTCTTTGTTGCATTGAATGCTAGGAACGAACGCGATCTCGACTTCAAAATCAAGGTACAATTCTATTCAAGTCCGGAGAGAGGGCTTTTTAGTTAAAGAAAATATGTCGCACATAACACCCTTTTCTGTTTATTTGCTATGAATTGAAAGGGAATCGAAGTTTGTTTTGGTCTTTTACATAAAACTTCTGAAAAAAGCTTTTTTGGTAATTTTCTTCTTTTGAGAATGTGGTTACAGATAGTTAGTAATTTGCAGAAATGTAGTCTTGTGACGTCGCTCCGATCATCAAATGTAATAGGGCGTGATTTCTTGTATTTGAGTGGTGCTTTAATTGAAAATATTTTTTTCATAGATGGAATTCCATCGTGATGTTTGCGATTTGGTCGAGGAAAATATCTATACTACGCACTGATTCTACGAGAATTTCGTCATAATGTGTATGAAGTTTAATGTTTAGTTAGCTGGTGTAAATTTTGCAAATGAGCCTGGAATTTCCCGGTTGCTCCAAAAGTCGTTATGTCATAGTTAAACGCGGTTATGTTGATGTTCTCCCCTTCCCTTACTGTGTTTCTTTAATAAAACTTGTTCTTCGGGTAAAGTGTTCACTGAGCAATCACTGGAATCAGTTTTTGGGTCAAAGGGGAATTCGTTAAAAAATTTTGGGTTAAAGGAAATTTGTCTTCAAAAACCCCTTTTGACAGCCTCGTGCCGGGTCCCGATCGTACTCGTACGAATGGATGTTGTAGAGAATATCAGCCCTCTATAGATTTTGTTTGCATATTGACTGCTGCCCTATTTGCACAGTGAAAGCATGAGGCAACATTGCAGGAACACCAATCAAGATCAAGTTAAGTCTACAACGAAACAGAAAGAAGACACTTAGGAACTCTTGGAAGCTATAGAATTCTGTGTGCCACTCCAATAGGCGATATACTTTGCGTGTTTTTTGAAACTGTAATATTGAATGTACTTATCCGTTAGTAAAATGCTATATAAGCAACTGTGTGAAGCTCCAACATTCCTTCATTTTCTTGCCTGTATCCTTTGCTTTTCTTTCACAATGTATTAGGTCGTTCCATAAGCTTGTACCGTTTTCATTTTCGTCCTCATATCTTTGAGGGGTGATTTGCGAAAGGTTCGTATCTCACTTGGAAGGGCTGATTGTGCTCTTTAGAATATGTTTACTGATTCCGGTGGAAAGCTTATTTACTCACATCTCGTAGCTACCAACGATAGAAATCTTGAAGGGTAGAAAAGGGCAATTTCGACATTTGCGCATTTTTCCCTACGAAAATAAGCGTTTTTGCACATATTTTTGTCGTTTATGGAATGGCCCTCGCACATTGAAATGAGACAAAAAGGATTGGATTGCGGCAAAAGATCAGGGGCTGGCAAGGTGTCCCAAAACAAGAGTTTTCAGGACGGACGGAGGACGCACAGGACTTCCTATACTGAAAATTGCTGTACAGGTAGGCGACGGTCAACCATACCGTAAGCAAACCAACTGCACCGTCTAAACCAGGACCGCAGAAAAAGCTTAACAGACAAATCCAGTGAGTTTTTTTTGCATGACAAACATGGCCTCGTACCGAGACGCCGTCAAAACTGTTCCGCACGATTTCACTGGAAGGTACTTCAGTACCCAATGTACTCTTCAAATCTCGCTCTAGATTATCATTTGCTTCGCTCTCTAGGAAAGCTCATGAACGGTACATGTCTCGATTTCAGTAAGTAGTTTGAGCGCTGGTTATATGACTTTCTTGGGCCCGGCACGCGGCCGTTTGAAAAAAGCTAACGAGAATTTGCCAAAAGGTCGTGCGCCACAGAAAAGAATTTTTTTGATTGATTTTTACTGTAAATTGATGATTTTGTTGGTTTATAAAACGCTACGTTTTTCTTCCGCTGGCCGACGGCACTAAGAACCACTTGTATTTCGTATAGTTTCGATTGGCTAAATTATCTCTCGCTTGAGTTGTTCCTTGATTAGAAAGTAAATCGCTATTAGGATGTTTTGTTAAAGCTGACATATATATAGGTACCAGTAGATGATTTGTAGAATATCCGCTATCTCTCTTCGATCATGATACGGGACCACAACCAGAGCCTTACAATGTCCCTCCTTCAAAATAATAACGAAATGAAGTTACACAAGCAGCTGACACAGCTTACAATGCCAATTGGAGTCCCTTGTGTGATGTCCGAAGCAAAGTCTAATAATGTGATGACACGATCTGTATATAAGTAGGCATGGTTTTCTACCTGTGATCGTCATTTCTACTTGCGTTGGTGAATTATGAAACTTTTCCGGAATCTTTTCGGCAGATTCGATCAGCTATAAGTAAAGAATGATTTTGAACAACGCTGGAGCAGTTCGATAAGGACCCTCTGAAATGTAAAGCGGAAAAAGGCGCTAAAGCGCTCCTTATCCTTGAATGCATGGCCCACTAACATTGAGGGGATTTCTACAAGGCCGGTCTCATGATGGGCTTCTGTGACGTAACGACGCTTACACTCTTGAATGGGAAATTCTCATTAATTTGAACATTTCTTCTATGCCTTACAGGTTTTTATTGGTGACCACTTTATTGCTGCCTTATGTTTCGGTTAAACACCGTCTTCAGAGGCCTGGAAAGGAGTCAGTCACTTTGATATTACTTTCCTTGTCGCCAAAAACCTCTTCCCGCCCGCGTATACGATTTATCTCGGGTGGAGATTGAGAGACTGGGCGTGAAAGTCTACCCACCGAGTGTATCACTGTGGCAGCAGCGTATGCTGCTTCAGGACGTGTTCGAATGACTTATCGAATGAGCAATTGGATCACTATGAGATGGCTTAAGTAAGGATGACAATCTCATAGTTCGCACAGTGCAAGATATGGCAGTAGATCACTCGTGATAGAAAGCTTTTCATTTTTGCCGTTCATGTCTGGGTCACGGGCAAGTATGTAAGATGCTTCTAGAGCCTTTCGAGCAGCGATTTGATCTTCGAAGGCCAGAATCTTGCATTTGATGTTGTAATCGTCACCGTTATGCTCTACATTTCTGTGTCTACCTAGCGGGAACACTATACTCTGTTCTTTTTTGCTGGCTAAATGCTCGCTCATCCTTACGTAGCGGCCGACCTGTTTCTCCAATACAAATGGCAGAGCAACTCATACATTCAATTTGGTAAACAACGCCACATTTTGCGCAGTTTCTTGCTCTTCCGTAGGGGCAAACTATGGGTTGCACTGACTGCAGCAGACTGCAGCAGACCGCAGCTGACCGCAAGGGCCGCACAGATCGCTATCCTTCCGTGAAGGTGGAGAGGATAAACAGTTGTAGCCTAAACAATCAACAACAATCTATGCCTAGATCCAAAAGACACCACGAACGAAAGTAAAACAGAGTATATGCAATAAAGAGAGAATCAGAACAAATATAAGCATACCAATGAAAAACAATCGCCAAAATTTGATTGAAAAGAGTAAATTAGAACCTATGAACTTCCTAGGCTTAAATCACGGTGTCTTGACATAATCGCAATTGTATTCTCTTTTACGAAAGCATGCAGCGTCTGTGCGGCCTTTGCGGTCAGTGCGGTCTGCTGCAGTCTGCTGCAGTCTGCAACAGTCTGCAGCGCTCAGTGCAGTCAGATGCAGCCTGCTGCAGTCAGTGCGGCAGTATGAAACAACCCTATGCAATCTGGTGTAACACAATCACTATCATACAGCCTGTTGCGAACTAACTGTCTCTTGAGGTTAGATAGATACATTTATTTATCCTCAGCGATTATTTACAACCAGTGCGTCACCTCTGCTTCGCAGAAACTCGCACTGGCCCTACTTTCTGGCTGCCTTACTCATTCCCGCATAGTAATAACGTTGAAACACACCGCGCTTTGCAGGCTTTCACGAATGATTTGTAAACAATCATTCATTCCTAGGGCTTTTTCGTATGAGATCGGTATTTTCGCGTGGATGAAACTTTTCCGAGAAGAATAAGTGCAAATTTGAACCGGTTTTTGGACTTTTATGGTTTGATAGTCGCCATAACGACGATGATCACCATGGGCTACATCTTTGTGCAAAAATCTTCCCAAATAATTAGGAAAAGTCTTGGCAGATTGAACATTTAAGCATTTTCCGGCGCCATTTTCGTAAAGAAATCAACTTCAGTTCAATTTTTTGGGTTAAGCATGGCATGCATCTAAGCTTGTTAATCATTTCCATGACCTTGCAAAAAGTGGTGGTACAGGCCCAGTTTTGCTGGCCAAGAGCCAAGAGGATCTGTTCGAAGCGGAATTTTGAGGGATCCACTCAGCGGATCTGCTCGTGCTTTTGCGTAGCGGACTTTCATGCTGCTAGCATGCGCCGTTCAAAATTTGGGCTCAAGAGGTTGGCTGGAACTCGCTCTACGAATTTCGTAACGGACATACAGACAGACAGACAGACAGACAGACAGACAGACACACACACACACACACACACACACACACACACACACACAAAACACGTAAACAACCCTTAGCCCGTCATTATAAGTCATGATTGATACCGCGATGATCTCGTTTATGGCTTATTGGGCGACTTCGACTTCGATCGTCTTCGATGACAAAAATCCGTTCTTGCCCGTGCCAACCAGCGCATTCTCGTGATGTCTCGATCTTGATCCATGACTTCTCGACCAAGTAGACGCAGTGGACCAGCCGCGGTTTCTTCCACCTTGTCTTCTTGATCCTATCTTTGGTGGACGGTATAGGTCAGAGCTAAGAGCTAGCCCCGTTTGCGGGAAGGACGAGGTGAGAAGTGTCTTGAGGTGAGGTGAATGTTGTCTTGTGTGTGTTTGTGTTTCTTCCACCTTGTCTCTTGAGGTTAGCCCGCGGAATATTGACAAGTATGACGTGTTTCTCCAACTGTGCTTGTACTAAACATTGTTTAATTGCGGCAGTGACTCGTTCGGAAATGAAAGGTAGGCACAGAGGTACCCTGTTGGTGCTCTGTTCAACCATCTTTTTCAAAGTTCTTCTTGAAAGGTTTGGGCTGCATTGTATATCCATTTGAAGTCATAATCGTAGCTGCCATTTTCAATGATTCATCGCTTTCACGTCTGCCACTACTGATCTTCTTTGCCGTCTCAAACATATTGTGAAAGCTCGTTTGATAGCCATCGGATGTGCGGATCTTGCGTGCAAAATTATGTTTTTCTTACTCTCTTTGCGATACCAATTGATGCTAACTGAGCCTTTACTAATCATCAATTGCGTATTTAAGAAAGGGGGCCACCCATTACGCGGTTTTTCTCTTGTTAGGCTTATGTACTGCGATTGTTGATTTAGTATATTGAAGCACTCGTCCATTTCGGACTGTGTGGATGTTACAATACAGCAATCGTCAATATACCTGCAGTACATAAGCGGGCTTCTGATCAGCAC